GAGATAATTAAACAACATGTCATTCACGTGGTACATTAACAGTGATAAGATTTCAAGAAACCAAATATTAGAATATTTATCAACTTATTTCACTAGCAAACCGTTGATAAAATATGTTAAGCTCATTGCTCATATTTTTTAAAGTAATGGCTATGTGAAAAAGTGGAGTAATGAATCAAGACTTGCTATTCACTGAGGATTCTTTGTTCACCAAAGACTCTTTGTCTATCAAGGATTTTGATCATTACAAATACGAGAAAAAAATGTATAGTTTTAGCATGAAAAAACACAAGGGTTAAGATTTTTTTTTTTTTTTTTAAAGCATGAGAGTCAGTAGACAAAGAATTTTGGGATTGAGTTTTAGGTATCAAATTATAATCATATTCTTATACTAATTTTCTCTTATAATAAAGAATTACCCTTAGATTTGTAGAGTAGACAAGATTTTGTTGAATTACATTAAATCTCATGTGTTCATTCTTTATTCATCTTTGTTATTTTACTTTCTATTGAATTGGGTTGTCCGTGATAATGCGTTGAATCTTGAATCCTCAATTTTCTAACAAACTTGTATCAAAACTTTTGTTTTGAGAGATTCGACCTTTGATAACGAATAAAATTTGCACACGAGAAGTTTTAATTTAATAGAAATGAAATTTTACTCTTTAGCAATGAATGATGAAAGATTTATTTGTTCAATAAGACTTAGCTAAAACATTGGAGGAAAAGGATGCAAAACTAGAAGAAATGGATGAGCATGAGTGGGAGGAGTTGAAATTAAGGCGCGTGAGCACGATTCAATTTCGTATTGCCGATAACATTATTCATAACATTATGGATGAAAATTCGACGCTTGCAATATGAAAAAAGTTGAAAAAAATTTATCGATGAAGAGTTTAACTAATAAATTACATTTAAAGCAACAAATTTACATGTTGAATGTTAACACCCAAATTTGGGTGTAAAAAACAAAAAACGAGAGAAAAAAATAAAGGAAAGAAAAAAGATGCAATTTGAGGCACAATTGAAAAAGAAAAGAGAAAGGAGCCAAAATAAAGAGAGTTTGTAAAGTGAGGGACCAAAAAGACCTTTAGCCAAAAAAATCCTAAAAAATACCTAGTATAAAAACACCTCCTTCCTCCAAAAAATAGGCAATTATCGTTCACTTATTGCTAAAAAAAAAACCATAGTTGAAGCTCTTTTAAACCTAGCCGCGACCCTTTACTAGCGACGGCCGCTAGGCTCGCCAACGCCCGACCACTAGCACGCCACCAGCCCCAACCCTTTCTCCCACACGGCGACCTATCCTCGGCCCACTCCAGGCACATCGGGCGTTTCAGCACCTCGCCGGCGCGCACCGCCCGCCTGTGCGCGCCTACCTCTGCCGGCGCATTCGCCAACAGTCGTTGCTCCATCCATCTTTCCTCCTCGATTGACTAAATATCGATCTCCATCGGGGTTGAAAAGGTCGGATTCGACTTCGAGACCGCCGAGGGAATTGACCTAGCTCATTTTTCTTTACGGTAATATTGTTTTACTTTCTTTTTACTTTATTTATTTATTTATTTATTTAACATGTATTAAATTTGCTTTATGATTGATATGTTTCATGTAATTAATTGAATGAATGTATGTTCGTTTTATTGATTTTAGCCTATTTTTTTCCATGATTGCCTAAGTTTGCCTATTCATGCCTATTTTTCCTAAGTTTGCCTATTTTCTCGCCTATAATTGCCTATTTTGCCCATGTAGTCGATTTTAGCCTATTTTTGCTCATGATTGCCTAAGTTTGTTTATTTCTGTCTATGATTGTCTATTTTGCCTAAGCTTGCCTATTTTTCGTCTATGATTGCCTATTTTGCCTATGTAGTCGATTTTAGCCTATTTTTGCCTATGATTGCCTAAGTTTGTCAATTTCGCCTATGATTGCCTATTTTGCCTATTTGTCGATTTTTGTCTAATTGCCTATTTACCGATTTTGCCAATTTGCGTATTTATCGATTCTTACCAATTTGCCTATTTCTATATGTGTTGCATATTCGTCATTTTACTCGTCTTGTTTGTTTGCCTATTTGCCCATTTTAAGTTATGTTTTTCATGCACGTCGTTTGAGCCGCACTAGCGACATATCCCTGTGTTCATCATTTTTAGCCATTCATTACGGAGTGAGGACAAGGTCTTCGACTACCAAGTCTCGAATCACTCGAAAAAGGGGACACTTTCATCAGAAGTCAAATTAAGGTTGTTTGCAATGCGGCTTGCCGTAGGCAAGACGGGGTAGGGTGACTTTTGGTCTTCCCTACACGTAATAAAACCTTTACTCGAAACTACGAATAGACCGGTCATAAGGTTTCATAGTAACCGTAATACTAGGTGGCGACTCCAATCTTTTGCCCTACATTTCACCTCACGCGCTCGACGTCGCCCCGCGACATTGATGATGGAAGAAGGCGTGAATTTCACCGATCACTTAAATGTGTTTATTAGTGTACTAGATCAAGTCGCAAAAAGTTGATGTCAAGGTTAAAGAAGAAGACAAAACTCTTTTGTTTCTTACATACTACACTTTTATTCATTTTAATTTCTAGTGACGATGTTGTTTTATGGTAAAGATACAATAAATTTAGACTAATTACAAACTACACTTTTATCTCATGAGTATAGAGAAAGTCAAATAAAGAAAAAGAAATATAATTATTTACTTGTGACCACTCGCTTGAAAAGAATTTTAGAATGACATATCTAAGTCCACGCCCGGAAAAAAAAGTATTCAATGTTATCTTTGTAAAAAAATTTGGTCACATCAAATGAGATTATGGTGGAAAAAACAGATAGACAAATCGATGATGGTAGAAATTTTTTAACGGGAGTAGAGGACTATGAAGATGTCATCATGGTTTCTAAAGGTATTAACATTTTTTTCAAGATGGTTGAATATTAGATTTCTTATGTGTATTATGTGTGTGTTTTATGAAGAAATATTTTGACAAGTTTAAAAAAAAAAAAAAAAGATAAGCACCATGTCTTTGGATGATGTCTTTTTTGTGATGTCATGGATCTTAAAATGATAAAAATCAAAATGTTTGATGAAGTCTATACTTTAGGTGACATGGTTTATGTCCTAAAAATATATAGAAATATAATATCGTTGGGTCAATTACATTCTAAATGATGCGGTTATTTCATCGTAAGTGGAGTCTTAAAAGTCACATATGACGACATAATCCTAATGAAAGAACAAAAATGTGATGGCTTATATTATTTGGTTAGAAAGATAATGACCTCGATGAGTGAATAAGAATGAAATGCACATAATGATAATTACACGAAAAGAGTTTATTTGGCGATTGGAAAAGAGAGAAGAATTATGCATTGTCAAATTTCAGCAAGTATTAGGAAAAGATCATACCGAGGAAGAAGATGGATAGATGATCTTCTCACGAGTTAACAAGTAAAGTTAACTCAAGACGGATACACATGAACATTAGTCGTACTTTTTTTTAATTAAGTAGAGTTTAAGATTGTTTGTTGATTCACGTAATGTATAGTTGATAAATTTTAAGATCAATAGTTATTTATATTTTTTTGTTTATGATATCTACGAGTAGGCGGAGTCAATAAACTTCGGGATAGTAAGAAGATTCACAAAGATTGAAAGGTCTTTTTTAGTTCGAGATGAGGCATAAAATGAGTTTTGAAATTGAATTTTGAATATAAAAATCACAATTATATTTTTATACTAATATTTTTTTATAGTAAATAATTACTCTCAAGTTTATAGAATGGGTAGAATTTTATTGAATTATGTTAAATCTTAGATGTCTACTCTTTGTTTATCTTTTTTTTTTTTTTTTTTATCGAATTGGATTCTTCGTAGTTATGCATTAAATCATAAAATAAGAGCCCCTGTGATTAACGTGTTACAGGAGCCATATGTGAATCTTGGAATTCTCTTTATCTCAATTCAAAAACTAATATACAGGAGTCATGTTGACATGACAAAGCACTTAAAAAAAACACATGGAGAAGAAAAAACAAAAAATAGTTATTAATTCTCGTTGGGTATTAAAGAAGAGGGAGAAGCAGAAAGAATCACAATATGGTAGTTTCATTTTATAATGAAGCTACGAAAATAAATAGAGGGAGAAACCTCAATTTAATCTCTATTATCAATTGAGTCTCAAAACTTTTGTTTTTATCAATTTTGTTCTATATGTAATCTCCATTAACTACTAGTGGTAGTTAGATTTTTTTATCTAATATCTATGTAATGGTTTGATGCTTTCATAAATGAAGCGAAAATAAATCCTAAACTATCCTAAAGAATAATCTTGCATGAAATTATAATAAATTTTACACACTTATCTTCTTATATAAAGCTTATTGTGATTTTATATTATAATTATATTTTATGATATATTGAACTTATTTTGATAATTTAAAACTTATCACTTAACAAACACGTACAAATCAAGTGTAAATTAAAGTAAATATGTTAACTCCCATTAACAGCGTCAATTACATTTAGGATAAAATTAATTTTAAAAAATTGATACTCAATTGATAATGGCGTAATACTTGAAGAGCCAGATTGAGGTTTCTCCTACGAAGAGAATGCACAATAAAGGGGAAAAAACACGGAAGACGAGTATTTGACGAATAAGAGAGGCGAGCAATTAAGAGAACATCGGGAAATGCTGATATGGCAGGAAGATAGAATGGGACCGGGCAGCACCATCTATACAATCAAATGTGGGGAATCCAACGGCAAGAAAGATCTGAAAGCCCACATAAACTTGTGGCTCACAAAATTTTGCCTTTTTTCTGATGTGGCATTCCCCCACCTTGTTTAATTACTTACCACCAACAAACAAATGACTTTCAAACTCTTTCTTTCCTTCCTCTTTTTTATTTTTCTCCCTTCTGCACCTCGTCCGATCCCCAAAAATACACGCACCATCATCTCTAGCAGCTACTCAAAATAACACAGCCAACACAAGCTGAGAAACAGGGATTGACTCTCCTTTTAAGGAAACCGAGGAAAGAGAGAATGTCAGATTTGGCGATAAAGCTGTTTGGGACGACGATTCCACTGCAAGTCAATCAGCAGCAGGAGGATGTGTCTTGTGCTAATAATAAGTACGAGTCTTCCTCAGGAACACCAGTTGCCCCTCCTGAGTCTGACGGCTCTTGTGATAACACTTCTACTTCCTTACATGAAAACGACAAGTCTCGTAAGGAACAGGAAGAGCAAGAAGGCAACAACGGGGTATGCGGTTTTTTTTATGTGCGGATTGGGATTGAATAATTCTGTGTTTGCGTTACTTATAAGAATTAATTTGTTAGTATTTGCAATTCTAATAGCAAACCTTTTTCTCAAAATCAGAAATTGTTTATGCGTCAATTTTAGTTCATCCATGTTTTTGGATGTTTAAGAGGAGGTGGAACACTCATTGATTTATGTGAATTGGACTTGCAATTTTTCAACTGTTATTCTGGAATTTCAAAATAAAGGAATTGTTCAATTCTTTCTCCTTTTTCTTTTGCGGCACAGAAGTGTTTAACCTTCGCTTTCACCTTTTCAATTTGTCGTGTTTTGGTAATTACTACTGAGTATCGAAGTTTACCAAAATTTTACGTGTTCCATGTACACTTCCCCTTGTTTTGTTGTGTGCTCTCTCTGTAACTTCGTGACATTTGAGGGGATATTTTAGAGAAATTTTTCTCTCGACTTCTTTCAAAGCAGAATTGGTTTTGATGAACTACAGACCACAGGCTTTATATCAGTATTTCCCCATTACTTTCCATTTTGAAATAGTTAGCAAAACTGGTCCTGATGTTTCCTCGAGGATCATAGGATTTTGTCAGATTTCTTAACTTTTGATACAAGCCACATTTTTTTTAGTCCAGTCTTTCCTATTGGATCACTGTTCTGTTTTACTCTCTCTGCCTCTGCGTGTGGTTTAGGGAACGCTTTGCAGTCTAATAGACTGATGCTTACTATTGGCAACTTGATAACCTCTAATGGCTTTGCCTCTAGTAACAGTTTTAGGAAAAGCTTTTTCAGAACTTAGAATACTTAAAACCTTCGATCACCTGTTGACAATGAGACAGAGTTGTGTCTGAAGGTGTTTTTGAACTCTCTATTACTACAGAGTTTTCTTTTAACTAAAGTGATTGTATTTCAATTTTAATCCCACTTATTTCCACCTGCTTTTGGTTTGAAAATCTGTAAATACAACTCTATAAAAGTAAGCTGTCTCTGTTTCTTCTCATTCAAATTTTTCTTCTTTTTTCTTTGTTCTTTTTTTACATTTTAGGAGTCTTCAGGAGAGGAAATTGCCAATGATAAACAAGAAGATGTTACCTCGAATCAGATCACTGAAGACTCAAAAGATCCAGTGTCATCAGGCATTAGTGAGAATCCAGACACTCCCTCAGTTGAGAGGGAAACTTCATCACTGAAAAGCAGTAGGAATGAAGAACAAAGTGAGACAAGCATCTCACAAGAAAAGACTCTGAAGAAGCCTGACAAAATACTTCCATGTCCTCGATGTAATAGCATGGACACTAAATTCTGTTATTACAACAATTACAATGTCAATCAGCCTCGTCATTTCTGTAAAAATTGTCAGAGATACTGGACTGCTGGAGGAACCATGAGGAATGTGCCTGTGGGAGCTGGACGGCGCAAGAATAAGAGCTCTTCTGCTTCACATTATCGTCACTTAATGGTACCAGAAGCTCTCCGAACAGCTCAAGTCCATGCCATGAATGGAATTTATAACCCCTCTTTGGGAAACAACAGCACTGTCCTTACCTTTGGTTCCGATTCTCCTCTTTGTAAATCTGTTGCCTCTATGTTGAACCTTTCAGAGAAAACACAAAATAGCGTTCGAAATGGGTATCATAGACCTGAACATAGTATCTTTGAATCTTGTGGAAGGGCAGGAGGTGATGGGGATGATCACTCAAGTGGATCTTCTGCCACGGCTTCGAATTCATCAGCGAAGGGATGTAATGGCAGTTCGCGAGAAGCAGCTAATCAGGATTATCAATCCATTCCTCCCCAGATACCCTGCTTCCCGGGCCCTCCCTGGCCATATCCATGGAACTCTGCTATGCCTCCACCAACGTTTTGCCCTTCAGGCTTTCCAGTATCGTTTTACCCTGCACCAACTTACTGGGGTTGTACTGTTCCAAGCCCTTGGAATGTACCGCCACATGTATCTCCTCCATCACCCTCTCTGAACCACTGTACTCAAGGCTCCGGTCCTACTTCTCCACTGGGGAAGCATTCAAGGGATGGCAACATCCTTAATCCAGCCTACTTAGAAGAGCCCTCGAGGGCGGGCACCAAATCAGAGAAAGGTGTTTTGGTTCCGAAGACATTGAGGATTGATGATCCTAGTGAAGCTGCAAAGAGCTCTATATGGGCGACCCTCGGGATCATGAGTGAAAAATCCAATTCTATTAACGGAGGAGGTCTCTTTAAGGGCTTTCAATCAAAAAACGAAGAAAGAAATTACATGGCTGGAACAACTTCAGTGTTGCAAGCAAACCCTGCTGCCTTGTCCCGGTCTCTCAATTTCCGTGAGAACACTTGATGAGAGATCAGTTAAATTGTACACTTTCCGCCATAATAGTAATTAAATGAATGGAGTTTTTCATCAGTCTACTGCAGCCTCTCACTCCCAACAGATTTGTGTTCCCTTTTATGCTCAAGAAGGTTGACACTTGACGCCACCGCCGGAAGGCCACCTTACTGACAAAGAACTCCCACAAAGAAGAAAACCAGAAAAGTGTTTCCCGTCTTTAGCCTTTAGAAGAGCATAGCCATCTCTGACCGGATCACACACCTCCCTCTCAATCTCCCTGCCACTTTATGACCAGCTGTTCTTGTTATCTATCTTAGATAATACCTTTTTACTAAGTTATTCATGTACATGGTTATCTTAGATGTTTATAAATATTGAAGTGTGAGAGTACATAACTTGAAAGAAGAGAGCTTCTTGGATGTAAGAATCCTACTCTTTGTAGAATAAACTTATAAATCTCATTTAGTACTTAAAAAAGACTTTTTTATGGCACTTTAACTTGAAAAAATATTTTTTTTTAAATAAAGCGTACTTCATACTTGGGTTCGACATACTGTCATTCAGTACAAATCATTCCTTCGTAAGATCCAAGGCCACAGTATACCATGGCAACTTAGCAGCTTTTACGATGCTTGTGCAGTCAAAGGTCGTCTTCTTCGCTATTCATCCAACCAAATGCTTGCTCCCTCTCCCTCCTACTGGGATTTACAAAAGAAAAGGGCTAGGGGTGGAAAATACAGAGGAAGGTGAGGGCTCATTTAAATGGCACAAAAAGTTCTTGTAGGTCCCCACACCTTTTTGAACAGATCAACTTGAATATTTGATGCTTCGGAAAAGCCAAGGATCTATCTCTTTCATGCCCCCCAAGAATCCAAACAAGCAACAACACCGAAAGGTGGAAAACACTAGGAAAAAGTTTTCGTTTTCTTCCATCTTTTTGCCAGCCTTTTCACATTCTTTTCTTTTGTTTTCATTTGCCGAAGTGTGCTGTTTATTGGCATATTTTAATTATCAAAACTATTGAATGGTGTGGTAAATTATTAATTTAGTCTATTTTAATTTTAAATTATTATTTTTTAATAAATTTTGTCATTTTCTGTTTTTATGGTCATTTGACAATATTGTTTTAAGCATTTTATTTTTCTTTCACACTGAAAATTATTTTGAAAAATAATTAATAATTGCTAAAAATGGAATCGGATTTAGATCATTGAAGGTTATTCAAATAATTTTTTTTTTTGCAATTATTAAATATTTTTTTAAAAATGTTTTAACCATAATAAATTGAAATGTTTTAAACGAGTAAAAACTTTTATCAATAAATATAATGATATATGATAAAATTTGGCAAAAAAAAAAAAAACTAATTTAAAGTCAAAATTTATCAAATTATTAGTTGTTATTTTTCCTTAACTTTAATAATTGGGGGATAAAGATATGCCAATAAACCCAAAATATACAAGGGTAACCCCTGAGCATATTGTCAAAGTGATGTTCAACTTTCTCTTTGTTTGCCTTTCATTGATATATCAAAATCAAGTTAGATAATAGTTATGATCCATAGCATTGCTTCGTACAAGAAAAAAAATTAATGTAATTTAAAGGGGAAAAGAGAAAGTGAGATTGTCTCCTCCATAATAAGAATATGACAAAACTATGTCGGCCAAAAAATATCATTATACAATTATCATGCATTTAACTAGTGCTGAATAATGGTACTGTAATAAAAGATAAAAACAAAACAAAGGCCAACTGTACATTTTCGCTGTTCAATAATTTTTACTGAATTTTGCGTTATAAAACACCTTTATTAAAAAATTAACCATAAAAATATCAATTATTATCATTTGCACGAGCAAATTGTTAATCACACAAGATACTTGTTTTCTAAATACAAAAATGGCTTAGATATCAAAAGCTACTTTTGTAAAGTTACTCCCATTAAAAAAATAGATATTTTTTTTTGTATGAGATCATAAATTCCAATAGTCAATAAAAATTATTCTTAAAAAAGAAAAAATATAAATCTATGAGATATTATCTAATGGCATGTATGTGACTAACTTGAGAAATTCATGTCCTCACAATAAGCATTTAAAAGAAGAATTATGTTTTGTTCTTTTCACTCAAAACATAGCAAACTACGTTATTTTCATCACTTTTAATGTTATTATAATTTTGATAATCTTATTTTTTAGATTAAAAAAAACCCTATATTTAGTCATGGCTAATTCTTTTTATATTTAAAAATAGAAAACAAATGCTATACTCTCTATTTTCAATCACTTTTAAAATTACATTAAAAAAACTTGAATATATTTTTCATGTAAGTGTGTTATTATATGTAGAAAATAAATTTAAGATACAAATACGTTAACATTATAAATATCAAATATCTTTTTACTCCTAAATGTTTTTTTTTAAATATTATTCAGATTGGCAGCTAGTTGGGACATTGGGGGGGGGCCGCGGATGGTGGTGTGGAAGAGAAAAAGAAAAAGCCTGAAATTAAGTTTTTGATTCCCAAAAGTCATCATCGTTTAAAAAACTAATACATCGCAGACGACATTAAAAAAAAATATATATATCGTTGAAGCTAGGATTGCCTCAGACAAGATTTTGCCAACAGAGAACGAAATTCCGATCACCCGCCAAAACCAAACAATTAACTGATATGAATTTTTTTACCATTATCTACCTCAATGTTCATTAAATATTTTTAATTGATATCTAATTAAATCGGATAGAACAAATATTTGTTTTATACCCTAATCGTTACCATCTATACTCACACTCAAACATCTTCAATATTATATGATATAGATACGTGTCTCTGATCAATCAGCTTGGGTGAAGCAATCAGATATTTCACTGTTGTCATCACACAAAAAAGGGCACCATTTATGCCAAATGTTAGCAGTTGTTATGGGACCCAATGCATGTGATCCCTTCGTGCAAAAGATATGAGGCCACACATATTATAATCTTTTTTTATTATTATTTCTTTTTCTCTTTGATCCTTTAGCCTTTTTTTTTATACGGAGACAAATATTCGTGTATTGTATTTTCATACTATAGTTTCATGACATCAACACAAAGTAAATGCCACCGGAACCTAGCAACTCCAGCAGGATCTGCCCAGGAATTGAATGATTTTGATGTCCAAAAGCTCAAGTTTCGCATCAATTCCAACTTTTCATGATTGGATCCCCTCACAATTAAAATCTCTCAATCTTGTGGTTCTCCTTGAATAAGAAAAACCCCTGTCCTGCATGTTAGCATCAGCTATTGATTAAGATTTAATTGGCTTTCCTAACCTAATTTACCTAATACGTACGTATGATGTGTCGAAACCTTGGATTAATTATATAAACCCCACTAAAACTACTTTTTCGAGGCATTTGCCCGACCTCAACTTCCTAGCTAGTACTGTTATTTTAGTGGCATAAATGTCATGCAATAACAATAAATTTAACTTTTTATTGCTAAAGCAAATGAATTCCCTAAGTCAAGCTAGAGCACTTCATGTATTTAATATTCCATTACAGAGCTATACCCCAATATCTATCTCGCGACAGAACTTCTTATCCATATGTAACAATAATAATAAAATGATTGACTTTATCTTCATCGAGTCATTTAGCATGTTGGAAATCAACCTGCCATATTATATCTTGCATTTCATAAAGTGATTGAGAAGATAACTAGAGGTGCATTTCAACGCAAAAAGCTTAAATGATTCTTTATTTCCCACTTAATAGCAAGAAACAAAAGCAAAACAAAAAGGCAAGGACATGGGTGTATGATGTATGCAACTTGAAAATGTATGAGATTATCTCCTTTTTCTTCTTGAAATTCCTCGATTTTCTGCCTCTTTATATATATAAACCAACCTTCGTATATAAATTATATTATTTAATCAATATGTACTTTTATGCATATAAATTTTAGAACAATCATAAAAGTGCGTGTACACGAGTTTTTAGGACATGTTTGATAATGTTGTGTTGTGCTTGGGTTACTATATTGGGCTGCAATATGCTATAAATTGAAAATAAAAATCGTCAAAATAGCATTAGATAATTAAAAAAATATATTTTTCTATTTAAAAATATATTGTTATCCTTTTTCTGTTCTAAAGTGATAATCTTTTTTACTTTTCACACCGTTTAAAAAATTTATTAATTACAATACTATATTAGTATTTTTAAATAATACTTTTCTAAAATATTTTATTTATTTAAAGAGAAAATCTATCTAATTTAATACTGCATTATACAATAGGATTACCTAAAAAAATAAACCGGACAAATATTTTGGAACATATATAAATGAAAGGTCAATGACTTCTTTGGTATTAAAGAGTAAATATAAAACTACATGTAAAGTCTCATTCAACAGTTTAATTTTTTGATTTTATATGGTTTTTTGACATGATATTATAACTTTAATAACCACAAGGTCAAGAATTTAAATATTTTTGTCTTCAATTTTTATTCTAATTAAATAATAAATCACAAGATAATAATATCATTTTTTGAACCTCACCCAATAATTTTAACATTTTTGGATTGAGATGATTTTTTTTTTTTTTTGACATTTGAAACTGAAAGAGTATTAATATCTTGCTTTTATTTAAAAATAAAGTAATTTTTTATTAAATTAATAGTTTTATTTTCAAAACAAAATAAATTTAACCAAACATTGTTTCTAATTACTTTATTTCATTATAATAATCTGTCAACAAGTATAAATACAAAGTACAAGTAATAAAGAGCTTGACGAAGACATGAAGAGGTTTTGAATTTAAGTTTCACACTTAAATAACTTGTATAAATAAATCTTGTGGACTTGGAGATTCATTTTAAAACAAACAGTATGGATTTTCGTCGATCGAAGAGCGATTGCAACTTGTCGTAATTAGTTACAAGCCGTGAAGAACCACATGGTTGCGAAATTCTAAAAGAAGTCATAGATATTCCTTTATAAATATCATTAATTAAAAAAAATTATGATTTTAGCAGTCTCAACTGTTATTAGAATCGAACAGAACAGGTTCATCTCTTTAATAAAATAGTTCAAGCAATCAAACTGGTCATATCCAGTATGAACCAATCTGAACCAACGACAACCGATTTGAACTAAGGCTGAGTCAAATTATCCTTAAGAAGACAGGTAATCCACTTTGAATGACAGATCTTCCCTCAGGCCATTCCCATCGAATGATGGATTATTCACTTCAAAGAAAACAAGTAAAAATGTTTGACAGCACAAGGAATCAAACTGTCGGCCCCCTTTTGTGAGGGTATGTTACCACCAGACCACCAAGTTTCTTGTGTTTCCATGTTATATATATATATATATATCTTACGAGTGAACAGCCGATCAAACTGTTGATCTGATAGTTCGAACGGAGAACTAGCGATTGCTGTCTCTGCCGAATGAATATCTGACCCAACTCTGATAACATCGGAAAAAAGTCTTTGACCTGTTGGCCACGCACGCATATATATAGACGAGTTCTCGTTCACGTCTGGAGAAACTTCCGAAATTTTTTTCAAAAAGCTTTCAAGCCCAAGACCAAGCTCATCTTTTTAATACAAGCATGAAACCCTTGTTCAGATCCTTACGATACTAAACCAGAAATGTGATGGACTCCTTTCAAGTTAGCTGTATAGGCGTTATCCAGTCAATAGGAGACCAAAACACCTAATTATATGTCTCTTGGCCCAATTGGTTTTGTATGTCTAATAATTTCACAACTTTGATTAATTTGAAAAAGGACATACCTTTTATTGAGAAAAAAAAAGGACATATCTGCTAAAAAGAAATTATATTTGCATGAGAAATATTGTTTTAATAGAATCCTCAACATTTGCATAATTTTGCATTATATATTTGAAAATCAAATCGTAGCACGAAAGGGCATTATTATATTTATTTCATTGATAATTTCAATTTTAAAATTCAAAAAAAAAAAAAAAATCTGATGATATATTGAAGTAAACTAAGTTAGAGTGTTCTATTCTTTTGGTTATGTTCCGTAGTGATAGAGACGTCAAAGAAAATTTTTATGATGTAATAGTTTTTGTTAATGATATATATATATATATATATATATATATATATATATTTTATGTTAATAATGTTATAAGTTTGAGTACTTTATTCTTATTTAAAAGCTTTTATAACTTGAAACAAATGAACCCATGAAGCCAAACACGTAAGTTTGATATGTTGAAATTTTCATAACGAAGTGAATGATATGTTGTATTTTCATGGAAAGAATTTTTCCCCCCTTTGTAAAGCCATTAAGGAAAATACTACAAATATATATAATACAATATTCACAAAATTCTTCAAAAATATAATTTTCACTTTTAATAATTATAAAAATAATCAATATATAAAACATCAAAAGTTAGAAAACATTTAATTAATTAAATCCATCGTTTTTCGAACAACTCCCTTCACAATACGACCATGTAAATATCAATGGTAGAATGTAATTAATGCCTATAGAATTAAAGGAAACCACATCATTCAAATAAAACTTTAATGATAACCAACAAGTTGTTAGTTTAGTGGAAAGCAAACTGGTCTCTAAATTAATTTTTTATCAATATAAATAATTAAAATTCTAGAATTATATTTGTTGAAAGGAGTTAAAATTTTATCGTTTCTACTCGAACATGATTAATCATATATTTAATGTGGAATGGAGATATATGGGAAAAAAAATTAATAATAACGAAAAAGAATAATTTGTTCTGAGAAATAATTTAGCTTTTAAAAATTGGAATTTCCATTTTGTGTCTCGGGTTCAAATTATAGGAAGATTGAAATGAGATTTTAAGGATTATCTGATTAAGTTATATTTTGCTTTGAAAAGAAAAACAAATGTATTGAACAAATAAATTAATCTATTTTTTAATCAAAACATGATACGCATTTTTAATTAAAAGCAAAGCAGTTTATTATGATCCAATATTATCTTATTAAAAAAACAAAACAAAACAACTATTTATCAAATACTACTTTTAGGATTAGTAAATTCAAATAATTGATTCTGAGATCAATAGTTAGGATTTTTTTATAGAAAAAAATAATTACTTATTTTAATAGAATTCTAACCATCCACTAATTTAATATAATAAAATCCTGATCATTGATATCAAAACCAATAATCTAGATTTATCGAATATGATAGATCATATTACTTCCAATTTGAAGATAACTAAATTCAAAACAGATTATGAATCTCGGTCAACATATCATAGATTGGAACAAGAACAATATTTTACTTTAGATCGATAACTTGGAGAAGCAGTAAACAATCGACTAACTATTAGAAAAATGATAATAAGAAAAAAGAAAGAAAGAAGTCAACTAACTTCAAGTTGATTGCTCCAACTTTCGCATGGTCGTCAAAAGAAAATAGTTCGCATTTGTCTTAATTCTATAAATGCTCTTAATTGCTAAGGTTACATCAATGCATTACCAGTAGTAATGTCCTGCTTCGTATGTCGAAAGGAAATTCTTGACCCCCACCACGAATCGTATGGACTTCTTTACGTCATCTCATTTCTTTCCAGGACCAACGAGGATTCCTCCTCTTGCTGAAGTCTCCCAGTAGATTTCCTCAAGTTTATTGACAACTTGTTTCACTTTTTCCGGTTTCCCTCTTGAATGAGGATTCCCTTTCTTGTTTGAGTTTTTCCTGTTTCCTTAATTTCTTTCTATACAAGGATTAGGTTCTGAAGGAAATTAGAAAAATCCGATTAATTGCGAGGACCTCAAGAAAGTTCCTTCACCAACAATAACCCAATTTCTTTCTCACCGCCAATGGAGAAAACAGTAGCAAGGATGTCATACAGTATACTCTCAAACATCCTGTTTTACCCTCGATCCCCACTAAATCTTTTCTTGGCAAAGGGTCAACACAAGCTTGAGTCCTTAAAAGTTGAAGCAAAAGCAGAGCTGTGTTGAATATCATGACAGGGAAGGTCATGAAAAAATAAATCAAGCAGATATAAAGATTGTTTTGGACAGACTAGGAATGGTGCTTCGTGAAGCTTTTAATATCTTTGATGAGAACAAAGATGGGTTCAAGAGGGTTAAATAGAAGTAGATCAGGAGAGTCCAAAGATGATCCGAGCCGTTGTAGGGATAGGAAGGAAAAGATCTATTTCAATGATTTTGACAGGCTGATAGGGTGTTATTACTGAATGATTGCTTGATGAGAGAAAAGCATGTGAATTATTAATTTTGGTGTTTTCTTTTTCAACATCCATGTTTCGTTGAGGCCTATTAATTAATCTAGTGCAATTTATCTTCTTACTGCTACATAAATATTGTTAATAAATACAAAAAAATGTTCGTTTATTTTGGTATTGATCTCTAGTTGTACTCCTTTTGCGTCGTAAAAATTATTCTTGCAAGAATAATGTACAACGGGTACCCATAAAGTACACAGATAGATAGATTTACCATTGAATTTGCTGTTTTCCTTCTCCGATGTTGGAACCTAGGAGCAGAAGCTGGAAGAGTCCAATACTTGTGGTTGTGGGCCAAAATCACCCGAACATGAGCCTGAGACGAGTCCTGTGTTCCAACAATTCACCGCCTCTGTGGTTTTGGATTGTACGGTTTCTTGGGCTGTATAGTAGCCAGCATAACTAGGCCCAATCTGCACCAGTTATACAGCTTTTTTTTTTTCAACTTTCGTTTTTCAATAACTCCAAAAAAAAAAAAAAAAATGAAAAGGCTGTCGTTGTTTGATAATTTCCAATAGGACCTTACACGAGGACGTTCCTTATTTATCCAATCGTGTGAAATAATAGAAAAGTTTCACTGTAGAGTGAGGAATAACCAATTTAAATCTAAATTACTAATAAGGTTTTATTTAAAATTTTTGCACCAAATACTTTTGAAAATTGATGTTTACGCTTTCACTGCTTTACTTTTCTATTCATATTTTATTAAAAAAAGAAAAAACTAAAAAAGCCCTTCCTAGATTGATAGTTTTATTTTTATTTTGTCGACGACGTCATTTTAAATCGATTATCACTCCTTTTATCTCTCTTTTAAAGCCACGTTGTTTTCATTAACATATGTCTTTTATCATAATCGGAAAATTTTTTAGCCATTTAGTCATAAAATCACAACCTGTTAATATGAAATCCATGTTCTTAAAGAGGAAAGCAATGAATATATATATATATATATAACATTCGAATTCGAGAATTCTGTAGGTTCGTTTTAGAGGAAACTTGTTTCATTTCTTTTGCTTTATGTTTTTATTTATTTGATTGTTGAGATAATTGGGGAAAAAGAAAAATAAGAAATTTTTGAATCTGTTCGGTTAAATATTTATTGTTTTTTTTTTCTGAAACGTCAAACATATAGTACTTGGTAAACTAAGAAATCTCAAATTTTCAAATAAAATAAATAGCTTACCATCAAATTAAATACTTTAAGTTTTAAGCATAAAATAGCATACTTATTATGTGTATATATACACCTATACTTGTTTATGTTCCTCGTAATTTCACTATTATAAATTAAATAGAATAAAAATACATTATTAAAAATTTTCTTTTTCAACTAAATACAAATATCAAATTCTCATAATCCATGCTACTGCGAGCAAATCATTCTAAATCTTAATTTACTCTCTCTCTCTCTCTCTCTCTTTTCAAAGAAATCACAGTTTGTAACCAAATAATCGGTTTTTTATTTCACCCAAATTATGTTGATTTCAAGATAACCTTAACATTTGATTCCAAGACAACCTTAACATTAGCCAACCGTAAAGTCAAGATTGTTATTGTTAGTGGCCGTGACTCCCATCACAAATTAAAATCCTTTGTTCTACACATATACGACGAGTTACGATTCAATCTATTTTTTATATAATAAGATAATTTTATATTTTATAATTATATTTTTAATTAAATCAATATATATATATATATATATATATATATATATATATATATATATATATATATATAAAGTTTTTAATCTATTATTTTTTCAAAATTTAAAAGTCAAACCATTAGAAATTATTCATTTAATTTATACATAATTATTTATTGTTTTTAAAATATCTTTATAAACTAGTAAATAAAGAGCTTTCATGCATAAATTATGTGATTAATTATGGTAATTTAATTTGAAATTTCTTACTGAAGTATAAAATAGACAGTTAAATTATATTCAATAATAATATTAGTTCAATTAAAATTATAAAAATAAATTGAAAAATTATCCTATTATATAAATATATATTAAGTTATTAACGGCGTGTGTGTGCGTGTTGTGGAAAAAAATGGCAGAAAAGACGAAGGAATGAAATATAAATCATTTGGTTTTAGTGTTGGCGTGTTGGGCCATGACAACAGTTCATGAAAGCTCATGTCACCATAGAATACGTTTCTTGTATCGGCAGGTGACTATATGCATACAGAACTTTTTGTACAGAAGTAGACAGTTGCAAACAGATACACCCCATGTGGGTGGCATGAAATCACAGAAGATTCTGCCGATGAGGAAACGAAAGGAGAGGATGTTCAACAGTTTCCATCATGAATGCATTAGGAGGGTGGGTGGCGTTTTCTTCTGTTGCAGAATTTGTGCCTGAATTTTGCAGGCCCATGAGAAAAGGATGTGTGATTACAAGTTTCAGTTTCTTGTTTTGTGTCTTAATTTATTTGCCCTGATCAGCATCATCGTAATCACCATGATCATCAACAACAAAACTCAACATCTTCGTCCACTTTGCACTAACAAACCAAAATACCTTATCCACCTTAAAAAAATTAAAATAATAAAAAATAAAAACCTTTTTAAGGTCAAGCTCCGGATAATCTTCAGCCTTTTTCTCCTTTTTCGGCGACGTAAAGTGATCATGGTGTCATTTCCTCATTTTCATTTTAAACCACCCTTCATGTTTGCTCCTTCCTTCCGAGAAGACCGTCACTCCTATATGTTTTATCTAAAGCTAAGTTTGTTCAGCGAAAAACAACTTTCATTATAAAATCGATTTCTACAAAAATTATTTTTCAGAAAATTATTTTTCAAAAAAATATTTTCTGTCATTTGACAATAACATAAAAAAATAATGAAAAATATATTTCAATATTTGTTTGATACAGAAAATTAAAATATAAAAATAATATGTGATTGCTACGTAAACAAGTTTTGAAAAAACTTAAAAAAGACATATTCATAATTTTACAATATAAGATACATTTAGAAAAAATTAATAAATTTTCATAACTATTGACTCTAAAATTTTAATTCAAAAAAATAAAATATATTTTTTTAACCATCAAACTAATTCATTAAAATTACTTGGGACAAAATCAAGTCAATAATCATATTTAGTAAAAAAAAAACTTAAGTAATCCTAGTATTGTTATTTTGGTAACTCAATTAAGAATTTTTTTTCTAGAAATTGACATGATAATTTAGTCTAAAAAATAATTTTATAAATCATTAGTTAGCATTTGTAGATAATTATTCATTTGGTTTCAAAAGATTAATATTCGAATAATTTGTAACTAATTATTCACTAAAATGACCAACAAAATTTTACAACTAATTAAAATTATAAATTATTGATTTAGTTATAAATGAATAATATTGAGAAAAAATATATTTATTAATGAATTAATTAATTTCAATTTTTTTACAAAAAAATTACAGTCTTGTAGTAATCATTTTCAATAATTTAAGTATAGTGTAATTGATGTTTGAGATAATAGTAAAAAAATAAAGATAAATTATTGAAATATTTATTATAAAAATAATTTTAAGGTGTAAAAATGGTTTTCAAGAATATTTAATGTATCTATAAATCAAAAAATCAAATATTAGTTGAAATAGAGAAAAAATAATTAAATAATAAATAATAATTGATAAGGAATAATTAAAAATTAATTTGATATATTTTAAATAAAAAGAAGATGGAGAAAAAAATGGTTAAAATATATCGAGAGAGAGGTAAGTAACGCGAAAGCGAGATAGCTCATGAAACGAAAAATAATTCTCTCTTTTAAACTAGAAAAATATTTTTTCAAAAATATTCTATCATTTTCCGTTGACTTTTTTTCTAAACGCAAAACAAATACTGAAAAATGAGCGAAAATAAATTTCTAAAATTTGTTTTTCCCAAAACAAACACAACCTAAGGATAATTAATGCTATTGTTTACAAATTATTTACAAACTTAATTAAGTAGAATTAAACTCTTATGGGTCAATTCCTTCCACTATAGAATATGCAAACAATCCATCTCTTTTCGATCCTGCTTCGATTTTATGTAAGTGTTACCAAATGTTTTTTTGAATGAACCTCTACCCAGATATTGTTAGAATGCAAATCCTCGATATTTCACTAGCTAGCTAATAATGCTAGGATGCTAACGTTTTAAACAAAATAATGCGACATTATCATATACAAAGGCTTTTCAAATTATGGAGAGGTGGATGTAACAAAGTATTATCTGTTTTGCAAAATTACATATATAATTAGTACTATTAGTGAATTGTACAAGAATTAAAATAGTATATAATTAGTAAGTTATATAATACCATTTTTAAAGAAAAAAGGATTGGAATTGTTCATATTTCCTTAAAAACATGATCGATCAGGTTTTAAATTTTACGATAGATTTTGAATTGAATTCAATGATTTGAATTAGATAAGAAAAATAAAACAATAATGTATTAAGTTATTACTATTTTTATTATATACTAAATTAATCATATTTATGCAATTTAAATTTAACTATTTGATTTTTAAAAAATGACGAAAATATTTCTCAAAAAAATAAAATAATTTGAATCCAAAAAATTGATAATTTAGTAATAAATCCAGCTATATAGTTTTATCTCAAATAACAAGTATTGGTCATTTGGACCAAGAAAAAAGCAAATGACATCAGCGAACCATTGCTCTAATAGTCCAACGTTTCAAATACTCAAAAGATTAAGAATATTCTAAAAATTGGGGTGTGGAGATTCTAAGTAAAGAGGCAATTACTCAGGATGGAGGCCTTAAAAAAGAAGGAAAAAAAGGACAAATAAATAAAGATTGGATAATCTCATCATAATATGGCATTAGGAAAGTTCTACAATTACGGCCTTAAGACTCCTGTTAATCAAGTTTTATTTGTTTCACCTTTTGAAAGGGTCTCATATGAAAGGAGAAGATTTTACTGAGAAAAAGAAGAGGAAGATGCAGGTGCGACATGACATCAACAGACTGATGCAGATTTTATCTTCTGCTATCCAACTGCAACAATTTACTACAATCCTTCTCTCTTTTTCCTCTAATGGCCTCTCGGTTATATCGGAGCACATCCACATTAAGCAACTCTCTGATATGATTTCTGCGTGAAAGCAAAAAAGCCTTTCAACCTTTTTTTTTTTGCTCTTTTACAATACTTCTGACTTCATGTGTCTCCTACCCCGAGAAAGTCAATGAATGGTGGAGAAACAGTCTCATAATGGCCGCTAACTCTGCTCTGATCTGCCACTGATGATGATGAAGGAGAAGGCTCACTGACTGAAACTGCTTGAGCTAATGCTGACGCTGTGGAGTCTGAGAAACAATAAGAGTTTTGGAAATTTGACTGTTGCATTACCATTATGTATGGAGGGTATTGTTGGGGGTAGAAACCAGAAATGCGGGGTTCATTATTTGGCCTGTCCCATGATCTGGTTTGGCTGAACATGCCCATCATGTCATTACTTTTGGGATCTGCAAGAAACACAAACCAATCACAAAGAAGAAAAGAACTGCTAGTAGTTAAAAGAAAGAAGCATGCCTAAGCTTATACAGACTTTAGAGCAACGAAAAAGGTATGGAGCGAAGGTTTGTTTTAGTCAGTGATGCAAAGGAGTAAATGAACCTCAGATTAGTAGTAGTAATCAACTTGGTTTCAACTGAAAATAAATCCAAGAGAATAAAGCGAGGAAATGAGGTAGGCTTCCCAAAAGAAACCAATATGGAAGCAGCACAGAAACCCAAACACACAAGATCACACAACATGAAAAAAAAAAAACAAAGAAAATAGAGGGAGGGAGAGGGATAGGAGGATCACAAAAGACACGCATACCAGAGGAGAAATCAAAAGGTGTCTGCTGTGCACAAAACCCACTTTGAGGGACCTTAATGCTTGAGACTGATTCTCCCCCACCGGTCATGTGGGGGGATCCATTTAAGCCATAGTCGCCCCCACCGCAACCAGTACCATTAAAGCTTCCAGCTTGGTAAGGAGATAAGTTGTTTAGTCCTCCAGCACTGGGGTTGTTGGGACAATATGGTGGTGGTTCTGTTTTCATGCCTGCATCTCTACCGACAAAGCTTGGAGTCTCCTCCATTCTTCTGTTGACAGATTGACTTAGCCTCCTTCTCCTGTAAGCACTTGATTGCTCTCTATATTTTCTAGCCATTATGACATGCCAATGGTTCTTGACTGCATTATCAGTTCTTCCAGGGAAAAGTCTTGCTATCATGGCCCATTTGTTACCATAAAGTCTATGAGCTTGCATTAGTCTCTCTTCTTCTTCTTCAGTGAAAGCTTTTCTGTTTATTCTTGGATCCAACTGGTTAAACCACCTTAATCTACAGCTCTTACCTTCACATGACAATAATCAAAATGAGCCTAGCAGAAACTAGTGATAAGACCCCTAAAACAAATTAAGGACAACACAAAATGCAGACAAAGGAAGTGGCAAAATTTGAACAGAAGTTCACAATTTCTTTCCCATTGGTAATTTTACCTGATCTACCTTCTAACTTCTCAGCTATAAGGTTCCAGTTTTGAGGGCCATAGAGAGCCACAAGTTCTTTCAGCTTGGTATCCTCTGCTGGTCTCCAATGCCCTCTTGCACAAAGCTTTGACTGCCCACTATCTGTTTCCTTGCCGCCGAACATATTTTCATTAGGGTTCTCTTCATTTGATGAGTTAGCGTTGTGATTTATAGTCTCATTGTTCTCCTCAAACCCATCACTGAAATCAGAAACTTTAAACTCCACAACAGCATCGCTGTTAGCATGATAGGTTCCCATGAAAGAAAAACCCCAAGTAAGCCTCCCATTTTCCATTTCATGAGAAGAAGAGGCAGGTGGTGTCATTCCAAAGTTGGGACTAAGATAGAGAGAACCAATATCTGTATAAACAATCCCCATTGAAGAACAAGGAGAAGAAGAGGAAGATGAGGGAGCAGTACTAGACGAGTAACAAGCAAGACCATTTCTGTTGTTATTATCTGGCTTTGCATATATAACACTCTCCTTGGCCATGCCTTCATTTCTTAATTTCTCTGACAAATGCTGTTATACAACTGTACATTAAGTCATCCTGTGGGAGTCTAAACTCTAAAGAAAAGAAGCTAAGTTTGGCAGAGCGTGATGAAGGGAAGGAGAGATGCAAGTCTCTCGAAAACAGCAAAAATCAGTGAGGGTGCTTTAAGAGAGACCTACACGGCTTGAGAGCTATGTTTTTCCTTCTTTACTGAGAGACTCCAGGTAGAAAGAGAGGAGAGAAGGCTTAAAAGTAGTTAACAACCCACCCTGACTGACCCTGATCCTGACCTTTTTATTAAACTATCAAGCCAGTACCTCTAGTGTTGTGTTACTTCTGTTGTATAATAGGATAGTAATATTTCTTTCTTATTTTTTGAATCATCACACGTGTGAAAGTGAGAGACAATCTCCTTTTCTTTGGTTTTTTTGCTCTCGAACTGTTGAAGGTTCTTACTTCTTGGGATGTCTCTCTCTTTATTGACAAGGAAGACTCAAATGTGCAAGTGTTGCTAGCTTGGGCTTGTACAGGTCTGGACACCTTTCTTTTCAAGGCAGAAAATGAGGGCTTGACATAACAGCCCCTGTGAAGCGACCGTAAACAACCTTGCCCCACTTCAGCTCCTCTCATTCTCCATCAGTTCTTGTTATCTTTTTTATCTTGTGTTTTTACTTCGATAGGGGCCGGTTTAACCTGGGTTTCAGTTAACCAACTGAAGCTGACCCAACAACCATACCCCTATGCCAAACCATTACTTTATTCATGTCCCTTCTCACACAACTAATTATAACAGTCCAGAAAGGCCATTACTTTAACGTCATCTTAATCCCCACCCCACCTCAACAGTTCTTTCTGTCTCTTTCATGGAGCCACGTATACACATCTGATGTTCCTATAAAAAGTATGTTACACCTGTAATTATAGAAACTCATTAATTAGATGTATGTTCTCCATCATATGTATAAAATACTTGGCTCAAATATTTATTTGATGTTTCCTCGTGCAATTGGTTTGGATGGTAATACCAGGACGATCTGAAATCCGTAATAGATTTAACCTTCCAATGAACAACTGAAAAAGGAAGAGAAAAATGAAATGAAATGAAAAGCCTGTCGTTAGCAGTCCCCCTGCTAGCAAAACAAATTTTATTTCCTCTACCTCAGGTTACAAACCTGCGCTGACAGACCCTGGGCAGGACAAGCCTTATCGAACAATGAGGGCTTTATTTTTAACGATAATAAGCTGATTATGAAATAAAAAGCGAGACATAAAAATTCGGCAAGGAAATCATTTATCAATAAGTCTCAATATCAGGGTACATGGTTCATGAATATCCGAGCTGAAAGAAAGCGTACTCCAAAAAGGAATGAAATCTTGGTCGGAGTTCGGAAAAAAAGAAAAAGAAAAAGAAAAATGAAGCCTTTCCGATTCACGCACCGGTTACTTGGAAAAGGAGTTCTATAAAGACGAAGGTAATCTGGAAAGGGGTGCAACTGCCCCTCTTTCTTTACATATAGGGCTGCCATTTCTCAAGATTGGAAAAAATATATAAAGAGAGACAGGATTTGAAAAAAAAAAAAAAGGATGTATGTGAAATTTTATAAAATTTGAGAAGCTGCAAATACATACATGAAAGTTTCAAAAACTATCGGATCCATGGCCCCTTAGTCTTAGCATATGTCCTCCCTTGCCCAAAACATCTCCTTTGGTGCCTCTCTAGCGGCATGAAAGCACTTTGGGTAAATTTGGGTTAATTTTTTTCATGATACCTTACATTATTAAGAGATTATAAATAAAGATTACGAAAAACAAAGAAAAATAGTTTTCCTAACTTAATTTTCCATTAAAATTCATATATTCATTCCGTCCTAAAGCTTTAATCCTATTTGATTATTTATATAGATTAAAAAAGTACAACTATCTGAGTGTCAAATCATCTATTTTGAAAATTATTTTATTATGCTGTTCTTCATTTGAATGTAAATAAAAAAATAAATTGAATCGAAAGAATTAAAATAAGTTATGATTGAGAGTATAATGGTAAAATGAAAGCAGTTAATAGTTATCTTTTTAGTAATTTACAATAATTTCGGGATATCTTAAAATGAAAATGTGGATAATACCTTTGGAAAGTATTAAAAAATACTCATCTTTCAGTAAATGAATTTCTACGTATAGGAATAAAAACTAGCGTGCGATTAGCATGATCATACTTAAAAAAGCCCGTTATAAATTTTAGCTTCTCATGCTTCTATCGATGAGTCACATCACTCACTTCTCAAATGGTAGATTTTTTTGGCATTCAAAATAACCTGAATTAGAACAGTGTTTTTTTTTTTTTCCTTAATGTGGGGCGCATATTTTCCATGCAAGGAATGTCCTTAGACTGCACTTTCATTTCTTAAAGACACTTGCCATAAAATACAAGAAAGAAAAAGATAGGTACTTAAGAAGAAGAATTATCCTTATATATTTATTTATTTATTTATAAAGTTTACACTTTACTATCAGGAAAATTCATTGATAGACGTTTCATTTATTGTGGGCACAGAGTAACAGGAATGTACTATCCTTGCTGAGGAGTTCGGGTCAAAAACTTTGACAACCTGACTTTCTATGGGAAACACACCAAACTGAACTATCCCAATGTGACTGCCAAAAATCCCACCATTTGCAGTTACTTCCAACCTCTATACACCCCTTTGGGTCATAGGGTCCCAGCCAAAGAAGGCATGTTTCTGTGTCCTTTTACTCACTGTTTCCCCTGCCTTCTTGAAACTGTGTAACTGTGCCAATATCATTTATGATGCATATGACCACCATGTGAACTTGCTTGTGAGACGAGATCGTTTGGGACTGATGTCATCGTCACCATGTGTATAGTTAGAGAGACACAAAGCTGTTGTGTCTTGTATTTTTTATTATATATATATATATTCACCCTCATCGTTCTGTAATATACTTACTGTACATGATTCCATCAATCTTTTCGGTAAATAGTTGCAAACAGTGTTTCAGAGCTCATAAATTCTCCCTAGCTTTTGTTTTTTTTTCTTTTTTTTTCCGTTAAATTCATGGACTGAATTGTTATTCTCTTTATTATTTTAAACAATTACAAATACACTTTACGTTGTATCGTTGACTAATTATCAATAATTATTATAAAATAATTATCAATAAAGGATATATTGATGCTTTTTTGAAAAAAATAATAGAAATAATAATTTAGTTATCAAATTTAACTGTATTCTCGTTTTTTTTCTAAGCTATTGTTATCGGATTAGTCCCACATCGTTACTAAATCCACCTTTCAATATATTCAGAGGCAGACCGTTTATACGAGTACTGATCCTATAGCATATTATTTAATTAACATCCAATACTAGGAGAGTTCTTTGAAACAAACAACATCAAACTAAAAGAGTCGGATCAGTCAAAAATGAGTTTTAAGTTAGAGTTGTATTTGATATATATTTTTTAAAAAAAGGTGATATAAATTAAAAATTATATATTTTAATTTGTATTAAAGCAAAATTTTGATCTAATTTTATAAATATTTTTTGTTTTAAGTTAAAAATTAATTATTTCTCATAAATATATTTATAACTTCTATTGGAGTCGAGAGTTTTTATTTTAAATGCACAACAAAGGGAACTCATTAAATATTACCCTATTCATTAAAAGAAAACAAAGAGAGTTTGTATATTCAACTCTTAACGTTATATAATTATATGAAATCGTCATTAATCAGTAGTAGAGCCACCAGGCCATCACAAAATCCCCAAGAAAGCTAAAGCACATGCTCTAAGAAACAGGTAGCAAACATATACTGAAAAAAAGAGATATGAATGTGGCCAAGAACCAATCAGGCACCACACACACATATATATATATATATATTCAAATCGGTTTTTTATATCAATTAAAATTAAATTTTTTGGTTCTCCGACTAGATAAACGTTGGATTTATGTCTAGTTTTTCGTTGATTTTAAGAATTGGATATTTTGAATCCACCAAAAATCTATGTCTAATGCCACAAGAAAAATAAAAATAAAATCTTCCACCGGATAAATAAGAAATATCCTTTTTATCATTTTATTTATATCCTTGATCGGTATAACAATATCTATCAAGCTCAAATCTAACCCAGCCACGATCAGCAATTTGCAGTAGCGTTGAAGCAGCAGGCCCAAAATTGGCCGATATGTTGATAGTCCAGTAAGCATAAGAAATAGGGGTCCTTCAATTAAAGGTTGCACCAGGGCACCTTACCAATGAGGAGCCAATTGCAAACTTTTAAAGCTACCAAGGGACCCTATTGTATATACATGTATAGATGTGCTCTCCTATATATAATGGACACTGATTCACTTGCTCTCTAACTTTTCAGACGCCAAAAGGAACCAGGGTGTGTAAACATGCCCTTGCCATGTAATAATATTTCAGACTCAGCGTATTTGCTCTCATCTTTCAAATCTTCACCTATGGTTCCTAAATAGAAACTGTGTACCTTCTTCTGTTTTTTTTTTCCCCTCCTGCCATCTGCCATGCATCTGCACTTCCTTCCCACGTGCGCCCTGTTTTCATGTGCGGAACCTTCGTCATATTTATGGGGTGTATGGTTAGTGTTTGCATGGGCGTCCTCTATATTTGTTCAATTATTGTCCCTGACTGGCCTCGTTACCAACTTAGGATGCCATTGCCTTCCTTGTCCTTGTATTGATATTGATCTATAGTCCCAACACTCTCACCCACGGAGCGTGCAATCACGAGGGTGGCAAAGACTGAAATAGGAAGAGAACAAAATTACAAGGTGCACATGACCGGAAAGGTTGATAGATGACCTTGTTAGTCCCTTTATTATTTCAAATTTTGTTAATGTGAATCCACTTCCATCCAACACCAAGCCAAATGTTAAGTTAAACCTAATTAAACTTGTTTATAAAATCAAACAAACCCATTTATATTTACAAAATCCTAAAACATGTAAATTTTTTT